CCCCGGGCCCCCCCCCCCCCCGAGCCCCCAGTGTCCCTGTGTCCCCCCAGTGTCACTGACCACAATGTCCCTGTGTCCCCAATGTCTCTGTGTTCCCCCAGTGTCCCCCAGTGTCCCCCAGTGTCCCTTATCTCAGCGTCCCCAGTGTCACCTCACTGTCCCTGTGTCCCCACCATGTCCCTGTGTCCTCACCATGTCCCCATGTCCCTGACCATGTCTCCATGTCCCCCCCGTGTCCCTGTGTCCCTGACACTGTCCCCGTGTTCCCGTGTCCCTGACGCTGTCCCCGTGTCCCTGACGCTGTCCCCATGTCCCCGTGTCCCTGACCGTGTCCCCGTGTCCCCGTGTCCCTGTGTCCCTGACGCTGTCCCCGTGTCCCCCCGCCCTGTGTCTCTGACCGTGTCCCCCTTGTCCCTGTGTCCCCGTGTCCCCCTCGTGTCCCTGACGCTGTCCCCCTTGTCCCCGTGTCCCTGACGCTGTCCCTGTGTCCCTGACCGTGTCCCTCTGTGTCCCCGTGTCCCCCCGGTGTCCCCCCGGTGTCCCTGACGCTGTCCCCGTGTCCCCCCACCCCTGTGTCCCTGACGCTGTCCCCGTGTCCCCCCACCCCGTGTCCCTGACGCTGTCCCCGTGTCCCCCCGGTGTCCCCCCGGTGTCCCTGACGCTGTCCCCGTGTCCCCGTGTCCCCCCACCCCCGTGTCCCTGACGCTGTCCCCNAGGGGCTCCTGGGGGGGCCGCAGGTGTGGGGAGGGGTCCCGGGGGGGTCCTGGGGGGGGTCCCAGGCAACCCCAGGGCTCATCCAGTCCCCCTGGAGATTTTGGGGGGTGGCGCTTTTGGGGTTCCCTCCCTGTGGATGTGAACATCGAGGGGGAGTTGGGGGGGGTCTCTGGGCGGGTTTAGGGGTGGGGGTCTCAGGTGTTGCGCCCCCCCCCAGGTGGAGGAGGCCGATGATTGGCTGCGCTACGGGAACCCCTGGGAGAAGGCACGGCCCGAGTACACGATCCCCGTGCGGTTCTACGGGCGCGTGGAGCACGGCCCCGAGGGAGCCAGGTGGCTGGACACGCAGGTGAGGGACAGGTGTGACACACGTGTGACACAGGTGTGACACAGGTGTGTGAGGGGACAGGGCAGGTGGCTGGACACGCAGGTGAGGGACAGGTGTGACACACGTGTGACACAGGTGTGACACAGGTGACAGGTACAGGTGTGTGAGGGGACAGGGCAGGTGGCTGGACACGCAGGTGAGGGACAGGTGTGACACACGTGTGACACAGGCGTGACACAGGTGACAGGTACAAGTGTGTGAGGGGACTGGGCAGGTGGCTGGACACGCAGGTGAGGGACAGGTGTGACACACGTGTGACACAGGCGTGACACAGGTGACAGGTACAAGTGTGTGAGGGGACTGGGCAGGTGGCTGGACACGCAGGTGAGGGACAGGTGTGACACAGGTGTGACACAGGCGTGACACAGGTGACAGGTACAGGTGTGTGAGGGGACAGGGCAGGTGGCTGGACACGCAGGTGAGGGACAGGTGTGACACAGGCGTGACAGGCGTGACACAGGTGTGACACAGGTGACAGGTACAGGTGTGTGGGGGAGAGGTCAGGTGGCTGGACACACAGGTGAGGGACATGTGTGACACGCGTGTGACACAGGTGTGACACAGGTGACAGGTACAGGTGTGTGAGGGGACAGGGAAGGTGGCTGAACACGCAGGTGAGGGACAGGTGTGACACAGGTGTGTGAGGGGACAGGGCAGGTGGCGGGACACGCAGGTGAGGGTGATGTGGGGGTACTGAGGTGGCAGGGGGCCTTGCACAGGTGTCACACACGCAGGTGTCACACAGGTGTCACACACACACACAGGTGTCACACACACAGGTGTCACACACACACAGGTGTCACACACACAGGTGTCACACACAGGTGTCACACACAGAGGTGTCACACACACACACACACTGGTGTCACACAGGTGTCACACACACACACAGGTGTCACACGCAGGTGTCACACGCAGGTGTCACACGCTGACCACACCTGCGCACAGGTGAGGATGTGCAGAGGTGCGGGGGGGGCTCTGTGTGTCGGGGGGTCCCTTGCACGCGTGCGTGTCACCCGCAGGTGGTGCTGGCCCTGCCCTATGACACACCTGTCCCCGGCTACCGCAACAACACGGTCAACACGCTGCGCCTGTGGTCAGCCCGCGCCCCCAACGACTTCAACCTCAAGGACTGTGAGTGCCCCGACCCCAATCCACCCCCCCGAACCCCAAATCCCTTCTCTGCCCTCCCAAATCCATCCCTGGCACTCCAAATCCACCACCAGATCCACCCCCAAACCTCAAATCCACCTCAAACCCCAAATCCACCCCTGAACCCCAAAATCCACCCCCAAATTCACCCCTGAACCCCAAATTAACCTCCAAATCTTTTCCGGAACCTCAAATCCAGCCTAAACCCCAAATCCCTTCCCTGCCCTCCCCAAATCCACCCCCAAGCCCCCAAATCCACCCCACGAACCCCCAAACCCACCCCCAAATCTCCCCTCGAACCCCAAAGCCACCCCCGAACCCCAAAACCCCTCCGTGGTCCC